TGCCCTCTGTTAGTTACCAACTGCTGGAGATGAGTGGAAAGAAGAAAATCTCTGTTTTTGTATAAGATACTGCAAATTCCTGAGGATTAGAAAGGAGAATTTAAAATGCCTGGAAAGCCCAGCCAGTGTTGCTCAGTGGTTGAACATTGACCTAGGATCCAGGAGGTTCCAGTTTGATTCCCGGTCAGGGCACATGCCCGGGTTGTGGGCTTGATCCCCAATGAGGGGAGTGCAGGAGGCAGCCAATAAACGACTCTCTTTCATCATTGATGTTTCTATCTCTCTCTCCCTCTCTCTTCCTCTCTCTAAAAGCAATAAAAATATATTTAAAAAATAAAATTCCTGGAAACATAAAGAGGGAATCATTCATTCTAAAGGTTTTAAGTAATACAGTGGTTTTACAGATTTTACCAAGGAGAAATTTTTATTCTATTGTGTATATAGTTACCTATAGAATATACTCAATACAAGTTTAACAAATTATTTAAACAAAGAATTTTTAATGCCAATGTCCAGATTCCAGAAGAAAATGTCAACTTAAAGTAACAAGCAGTAGAAGCTAGGTAAATATTTTTGGAGTATAAATTGTTCTTTGGTTCATCTCTACAAAGACTGTTTTATATTCATTTAATACACTTTTTTTTAAAAAGGCAAGAACATTTTTAGACAAGTGGCATTTGGTAATCAAGTCCTTAGCATCAGATGAGGCCAAATTTAAATCCTGTTTCTGCCTCTTATTAGCTATAGGACCTCTGAGGCACGGTGTTCTCTATAAGTGGGAATAACAGTAGCGATTGCTGAAAGGATTAAATGAGATAATTCCTGCAAAATTGTAAATCCAGGCCCTGATACACAGTAAATATTAGTAAATATTATAATAATCAGGGAAAATAACACCAACAGTAAAGTAAAGCATTAAGAATGGTTATGTTCAGATTTTCCAAAGCATAACCTCACTGAGTTTGGAGAGTTGGAAGCAGAAATAAAGGCCCAATAACCTAACCATATAGAAAAGATGTCCGGGCTCAGATGCTGCTAAAACTACATTTCCCAGCAGGCTCCGGGCCTCGGAGTATGCTTCACTGTTTCCGGGTATGTCACGTGACTACCGGGCTGCACCATGGCGGAAGCTGGGGAGCAGGTAAAGGGTACAACTGCTGGGCAAGGGTAGGGAAAACGTAGGTGAGGTTGGTTCGGACCTTGGAAAGGCGCGGGGGTGGGGGCTGCGGACCTGCTGGAGGGCCAGGCAGGCCCTGGGCAGGGCAGGCGGGTACCGAAAGGCAGTCGGGAGCAGAGCCGCGTGAGGGCACCGGGGAAAGCCCACCGACACACCCCCAGCGTTTGTGAGGAGGCCCTTTTTTAGGCTCTCCTCCTGTGGCCTGTGCTCGGTGAAGTTTTGGCTTGAAGGTTACCACAGGGACTGAATGCCCCTGGGAGGCGTAATAATAGATTACTTGAGTTTTGAGGCCAGGTAACTGAAGTTTAAATTCCTTTCCACTCGAAGTAGCACAGTGATTTGCAGGAGGGCTGGGAGAAAGATGATGAGTTTTGTTTCGTATCTGTTGCGTTTAGGTACAAAGCTAAGTCACTTATGGCCTGCAGCAGTGGTCAAGTGCATCTGTTCTGGAGCAGAAATGACTAGGCTCCAGTGCTGGTTCTCTTTATTAATACGTGAATTTAGGCTAGTTATTTAACTTTTAAATATAAGATAGAGATAATATAGTGCTGTCTTGAGAAGGTGGTTTAAATTGGAATGAGTTAGTACACAGTTAAAGTACTTACTAAAACTTGGGCATAAAGTTAGGAGACGAATTATTTGTTGCTCACAGAAGATCAGATGGCAATGACCAGTCAACACCTGGCAATGTGGCACTGGAGTTTAAGGTAGAAATTAGTGATTGCAGTAGTTATATTCATACAGGCAATAGTGGCAGCCAGACATGAGTTGAAATGACATAGGAACATAAATAAGACAAAAAGAGCAGACAGAGGCTGGAACCTGGGGAAATACCTTAATTTTCCATTTCCAGGGTCATTTTTAAGCTTAGCGCTGTTTTTCCTCACAAATTAACAGGGCCACCAGTTTCCATAATTGCCTCTAAGAAGTTATTTGTTGATGAGCTATTTAGTATCATAATAACAGAAGCTTACCAAGTTTCTAATTTGTACTATTGGCAACATACTTTACTTACATCATGAAAATGTGCCCTTTTTACATTTGATATATGCCGATAATTAAGAAATAGGTAGAAATTTGATTTGGGTGGTCATTGTGGTAAGAGCTTCCCTTTTCTGTTTTAGGCAGTTCAAAGGAAAATGCTCATTAAGCACACGTAATTTCATGACACATTGCTGGGTTTGATGATAGTGGTGAGATTGGTTTTCATACTGTTAACCTTTCATATTGAAATATAATTTTTTGGTGGTTTGATTTAAAAGCAAAAAAACAAGCTCCTTACATCCTTAGATATAGGGTAGTAGAAATGGAGAGAGTTGCTCTTAGTATTTACTACTGTTTTGTGCAGGAATTTGGCCAACCTGTCTGATGTAGAAAGACACATAGAAGGTTAGTGATAAAATAAAAATGCTTTGAATTTGTACAGCACTTTCCAGGTTAGAGAACCCTTTCACATTCGCATTTGGTCCTCAGAAAAGAATTCTGTGTGGTCAATGTTTATCCTGATATATATGTCAGGACAAGCACCTCCTATGTTCAGACTTTCCAGTGGTTTCTCTTTGCACTCAGAGGTAAAGCCAGAGTCCTTATAATGGCCTAGTTGCCCTACAGGACCTTGCCCCTGTTGCTCTCTCCCCTTTCTCTGACCTCATTTTTCACTACTTTTCTTCCCTTCTGTTATTTTGCATCAGCTATACTGGCTTTTTTACTGTTCCTTCAACAAAGCTGTCTTGTTTCTACCTAAGGGCCTTTGCTCATGCTGTACCGTTTTTCTGACCCGTGATATTTATAGGGCTTTCTCCCTCATTCCCTTTATGTCTTTTTCCAAGTGTTATCTTTTTTATTTTCAATTTTTATTCTCTCCTGAGGATATGTTTATTGATTTTAGTTTAGAGAGGGGGAAGGGAAAGAAAGAGAGGGAGAAAAACAAACAAACATCCATGTGAGAGAGAAACATTGATCTGTTGCCTCCCACATGCCCTCCTACTACCGGGTATCAAACCAGCAATCCAGGTATGTGCCCTGACTGGAAATGAAACTTGCAACTTTTTATCGTGCTCCCACCAACTAAACCACATGACCAGGGCTGTCCAAATGTTATCTTTCTGAGTGATTTCTTCCCTGACCATTATTTGAAACCTCTTCATTATTTTTTTTCTTCGTGCTTGTCTATCTTTCTCTGTATATTCTGTATGCTTCTGTGTTCATTTCTGTATATTCTCCCTATTAGAATGTAAGCTCCATGATGGCAGAGATTTGTTCACTCCTATATGCCTGACACATAGAGTAGTGCTTGATACTCAGTACATATTAAATGATTGAATTTTCCAGGTAAACAGGAGAAATTCAGACAGGTTACCTGCTCAGACTTGTATCTATAATAAATCTCTAGTCATCTATCTTCAAAGCTTATGATTTTTCACTAGAACACCCTACCTTTTAAAAAATACTTAAGAACCTAATTCTAAATAAGTTTTTGCTTTATGAAGTAGAATTAGCTCTTACTGCCTTTATAAATTTTCTTCAAGCCATTATTTCACTTTTAATGTCTTAACAGCCAGTAAAGGGTTAGAGTAGGCATTCACACCCTACCCCCACCCCCGGTGGTATCAGTGTCATTTTCAAAAATACCAGTCAGTAGTAGAAAGGAGGAAACATTCACAAATTGTTGTCCTGTTTATTTTTTAAAGAAAGCGAATAAATAAATGTACCTATATTTAATCTATAAATTGTCCTTTGTAGATTAAAAATGGTTAGGCTTTTCTCACTTTGCTTATTTGTGCATTTCACATTTTACAGTAGGAAGCCATTAAAATCTCAACTAAGGTGGTAGGCCTTTATTATACAGTTTTGTTTTGTTTTAACCTCACTTGATATTTTTCCATTGCTTTTCAGAGTGGAAGGGGGAGAGAGAGAGAGAAAGAGAAAAAAACCAAACAGAAACAGAAACATCCATGTGAGAGAGAGACACATGGATTCGTTGCGTCCTGCACATGCCCCCACCTGGGGCCAGGGCTCAAGCCTGCAACCAGGTACCATTTTCCTTGGCCCAAATTGAACCCAGGACTCTTCAGTCTACGTGCCGATGCTCTAACCACTGAGCAAAACCAGCCAGGATTGTTATACAGTTTTTGAAGGCTAAAAGGGTGCAGAAGTGAAGTTAAATAAATTTGCTAATTGCTCTGATCTAATACTTTGAACCTTTTAGAAAATCTTGACATAATTTTTTCCTCCTCTAAATGCTTTAAGGAGTGAGATGTGCTTTAGAAGTAACTATGATAGGTTAGGGTAAAGGAAGCTTTTTTACTGTAAATGCAAATAGCTCTCCATGATAAGCAAGACAAAACTAAACCTCTCCTCTTAAAGGTTCTGGGCATTGTATTCTTTGGTGATTGCTCCTCCTGCCCCCATTTAATTTTAGGAAGAACCAGTGTAGTGAGATCTGTACTGAGTTAACAAAATGTAAAACAGTTCATAGACTCTCAAACTAAAAATCACTTTTTGGATATGAATAAATATTTTTTAAGAGTTATTGGGATATCTTTGTTTATGCTGAATATGGTAAAGGTAGTTCCCCAAAATACCTACATATATGTTATATAGGAAGAGATAATAACTTGCCTTCTGCCTGGAAATCTTTTTTTAAAAAATATATCTTTATTGATTTCAGAGAGAGGAAAGGAGAGGGAGAGGGAGAGATAGACACATCAATGATGAGAGAGTCATTGATAGGCTACAGCCCGCAACCCAGGCACGTGCCCTGACCGGGAATCGAACCCTGATCGCCTGGACTGATCGCCTGGATCCTAGGTCTATGCTCAACTGCTGAGCCACGCCCGGCTGGGCTGCCTGGAAATCTTCTAAACAGCAGTTTTTCTAGCACCAAAATGATTTATAGTTGACCTTCATAATCACAAATGCCCTACAATATTTGTCCATACCTCTCTTATGAATAACATTCTACTTGGAGTCTGGTTGTTTGTGTATTTATCTTGTCTATCCTACAGATTGCTGAGTCCTCAAGAATAAGGATGAGAGCTTACTCATGTCTGTAACTCTCACAAGGCTAGTGTTTTGCAGGTACTATGTGCTTAATACAACGTTTAAATGAATTTATTAGGGGGAGAATAACCTTCTGAATTGAAAATGTCAAATTGTAAGTAAGGTTCAATAGAATTTGGGTTGTTATTTTATCTTACTTGAAACTTTTCAAGGTTGTTAATTCAAATGTATTGTGGATTACTTGCACTACATAGATTCTTACTCTGCCAGCTCCCCAGGCACCCTTTCATCAGTAGTTATTGCCCTATTCAGGTTTTCTGACACTTCCGATTGAGTTTTGGAAGGTTGTATTTTTCTTGGAATTTGTCCATTTCATCCAGGTTGCCCAGCTTTGTGGCCCATAGTTGTTCTTAGTATTTTCTTACAGTCCTTTGTATTTCTGTTGGGTTAGTTGTTACTTTACCTCTTTTGTTTCTGATTTTATTTGGGTCCTCTCTTTGTTTCTTGATGAGCCTGCTAAAGGTTCATCAATCTTGTTTATCTTTTCAAAGAACCAACTCTTGGTTTCATTGATCTTTTATTTTATTTTTTAATCTCTATGTCATTTATTTCTGCTCTGATCTTTATTATTTCCTTCTTTCTGCTTACTGTGGGCTTTTGTTGTTCTCTTTCGAAGTCTTTAAGTTGTAGGGTTAGATAGTTTATTAGAAGTTTTTCTTGTTTTTTGAGGTAGACCTGTAGTACTATGAATTTCCCTCTCAGGACTGCTTTCATTGTGTCCCATGATTTGGGGTTGTTGTGTGTTCATTTTCATTTGTTTCCAGGAAGTTTTTTATTTCTTCCTTAATCTCTTTGGTAACCCATTCATTGTTTAATATCGTGCTATTTAGCCTCCATATGTTCGAATGTTTTTGAGTGTTTTTACTGTTGTTGATTTCTAATTTCATGCCATTGTTATCCGAGAAGATTCTTGATATGATTTCAGTCTTCTCAAACTTGTAGAAACTTGTTTTGTGTTGTAACATGTGGTCTGTCTTTGAGAATGTCTCATGTGCTCTTGAGGAGAATGTATATTCTGCAGCTTTGGGGTGAAATGTTCTGTAAATGTCAGTTAAATCCATCTGATCTAGTGTCATTTAGGGTCACTGTGTCCTTATTGATTTTTTATATGGAAGACCTATCCAGTGAAGTCAGTGGGGTGTTAAAGGCCCCCACTATGACTGTATTGCTGTCGATCTCTACCTTAAAGTCCTCCAGAAGTTTTTTTATATATTTAGGTGCTCCTATATTGGGTGCATATATGTTTATCAGGGTTATATCCTCTTGTTGGTTTGATCCCTTTAGTATTATAATTTGACCTTTATTGTCTCTTGTTAAGGCCATGAATTTGAAGTCTATTTTGTCAGATACGAGTATCGCTACCCCAGCTTTTTTTTCATTTCCATTTGCATGGAAAATTTTTTTCCATCCCTTCACTCTCATCCTGTGTGAGTCTTTTATACTGAGGTAAGTCTCTTGTAAACAGCATATATTTGGGTCCTGTTTTCTAGTCCATTCAGCTACCCTATGTCTTTTGATTGGAGCATTTAATCCATTTACATTTAAGGTTGTTATTGATAGGTACTTACCTATTGCCATTTTAATTCTTTATGCCTGTGTTTTTCTCTCTCTCTGTATTTCTACTTCTTATTAAAGCAGTCTTCACTTTGACCATTTTTAAGTTTATGATTCAGTGGCATTTAGTAAATTCACATTGTTGTTCAATCATCACCAGCATTCATCTCAACAACTTTTCCTCATCACAAACTGAAAGTCCATACCCATTAAATAATAACCCTTCATTACTCCATCCCCAGCCTTGCTAACCTCTGTTTTACTTTCTGTCTCCTACAATATTTGTCATTTTGTGTCTGGCTTATTTTACTTAGAGAACAGCACAATTTTATAACATTTTCATGATTCGAAGTTAGATTATTTGAAAAATAGAGTGTGAATTTAAAAAATGCGTGAAAACCACTGACTTCTTAAATTGTAATCTTTCTCAAGGTTGAGCCTTGTTTCTTAGATCCCTCACTGGGGACATTCATGTCATTTCCTGTTTGCCTGTGTCTAGAGCAGGGGTGGGGAACTTCTGGCCCAGGGGCTGTATAGGGCCTGGGAAATGATGTGGTTTCAGGCAGGCGCAGGCAGAACTTGAACTTCAATAAATCTAGGAGCTTTTTTCGTAGCTAATTTTTAAGTTGATAATTTTGTATGGCCAGTGAATGGTATTATAAATATCCAAATGGCCTTTGGTTGAGAAAAGGTTCCCCACCCCTGCTCTAGAGCATTAAGCATAGGGCTTGATGAAGGAATGAAGCTAAGAAATAACAGACCAGGCTAATTCTTGAAGTTACTTATGCATTGCTTTGGTAGGATTGTGGACAAAAGTATAATTTTTTTGAGGCCATAGCTGTCTTTGGGAGGTTTGTGCTGGTGCTGAGGATAAGTCTGAGAGATACCTGGGTTAAATGTTCTTTATTGATTACTAGAGTTACAGGAAGTGCCTCCGAAAGCTTGGTTTTCCCTGAAGATGCAGGTTTCTGAGATCGTACTGCTTTCCATTGGGGAGCAAGAGTGTTTCTGGTTTAGAGTTTTTGAATTGAAATTTCTGGGTGGGGACTTAAGTTTTTGACTTAATCAAGAATATAAATGGGATATTTGCACTTTACCCCTGGTGTGTATTTTAATGGATTCTAAATTTTAAAAAAATTCCTTCAGTTTAATACACGTTTTGAAAAGATTAGTTAAGTGTCCTTTCAGAGTTCTAGTGTTGGAAAATAGGAACCTATATGTGGTTCATTGGCACAGTTGTGAAAGCTTGGTTTTGCTAATGCTACCAACTTAATAATCAGGGACTTTTAGAAAGTTCAACCTCTAAGCCTCAGTGTTCATACCTCAGAGGTAGTTAGGAAATTTTAAGATGCTATCCGTAAAGCATTTAGCATTATATATATATATATATATATATATATATATTCAGTAAAGATGTCAGAATAGTGACTGTTAATATTAAGTGGGCTGTGTTCAGAAGAGAAGTGTAAGGATGGTAGGTGGACTAAAACCTGGAACTTGGAATGGTCAGCACAGAGGAGAAACAATTTAGAAGGATAGGCATGATATGTGTCATTAGCTCTGGAGAACTGTGAGATAGTAGTAGAATAATTTGATTTTTTTATTTGTCTTATTGGTGTTAAGAATAAAAAGTTACTGTGGAGAGATTGTAGCTCCAAATTAATAAGAACTTCCTAATACTTACAATATCATTAAAGTAAGTTGGCTGCATTGGAATGTAGAGGAGAGCCTCATATTCATCATGGTTAATGATGTAACTACAGTAAAATTCTTAATTACAAGTAGCTTTCATCCCCATTTTACAGATGTTTTTTGAGAGCAGAGACTATATTGTCCACAAGGCTGATCTTTAGGCAGCCTGCCACCTGCCAGGTTCTAACTGATTTTCCATGAATAAAATTAAAATGTTTTCAAACACCAGATTTGTGTTTATCATGCTGTCCAATTTGCATTTAATAAGATATGCATTTAACTTTTTAAAAAATACTCATTTTTTTTGTTGAAAAAATATTTGTGTCTAAGACGTCCTTGCCTCATTTTTTTTTTTGTTCTTTCTTTATCTCATGGGTTGTTGTAAAATGCTTACATTCAGTGTCAGCATATTAGTTGTAACCTTTTATTGCTATTGATATCTATAAATACGTTAAGTAAATCTTCATTTTGCTGACCTCTTTGAGGATGCGTGGCATCAGCAGATTCTCTTTTTCAGTGGACAGGTGAGAGATTAGCAGGATCAAGTCAATTTTTCCCCTTTTTGCTTTGTTTTCTACAGAGCAGCAAGATTCATTGTCTAGCAAAAGGGAAACTGTTAAATGGTAGAATTTGTCTTCCAGTTAATGGTTTAAAGAGTGGATATAAATTATACAGCTTGTTTGCAGTGTCTGATAGGTACCACTCTAGGGGAATTCTTTTGTAAATGCTGTTTAAGCAAGACAATCATTTTGACTCAATCAGATTAATAGTATAATAATTAATAGCACAAGAGCTTTTCAGTACCAGATTGGCTTACAGATATTTTGAGATGGCAATTTCCTCTTCCTTTCTGAGATCAGTGAGACTGCTTTGCCGGAGTCATTTCAATTTTTAGAAAGGGAAAAGCTTTTCATATACGTACATGACAGTTCCTGGGGTCATTTGTTTACCTGCTGACTACTCAGGGTAGGTCAGCAGGAACAGTGGATTTGTGTGGCCCCAGAGTTACCATCTCAGTCCTGCAGGGTGTAGAGAAGTAGGAGGTCTGTGAGAGTTGAACCTCCTGGAGTCCTTTAAACTGTATTTGCAGATTACCTCCAAAAAAGGGCAGGTGGATATTGGTGGTGGGAACATTTGCATTGAATTGCATTACATTTCAAAGGACTCGTTTCCTTTGAAACTATTTTTTATTCTTTTGTCATTGTTCTGACAATTTTCCCCCTCTATGTTTTGCAGGAAACCATGTCTCCTGAAGAATCTACTGATGAGTCTGAGGTAAGGTGGTGATTCAGGAGCCTGGGGATTTCTAGCTAACCATGTTCTCATCATAAACTTGTTCTGCTTTGCTAAATACAGCCTTTCCAAGGCTAGGGTGGTAAAGTAGGGCCATGGGGAATTAAGCCTTGGGGAAGAACATGCCAGTTGTCTTTAAAAATGTTTACTGGATTAGTTTAAAAAGGAAACATGAAAAGTTTTCTCCTCATCTTGAGCAATATTGTAACCTGAAGCATGTTGGTAGTGGGAAAATTGATGCAAAGTTTTATAAACTAATCTTGACATTTAAAAAATCTATTTTAAAAAATAGCCACTGGGCCCTGGCAGCGTGGCTCAGCAGTTGAGCATCGACCTATGATCCTGGACCTATGATCCAGGGGATAGCCGTTAGATTCCTGGTCAGGGCGCATGCTTGGGTTGAGGGCTCGATCCCCAGTAGGGGGCTTGCAGGAGGCAGCCAATCAATGACTCTCATCTTTGCTGTTTCTATCTCTCTCTTCTCTCTCTCCCTTCCTCTCTCTCAAATCAATAAAAAAAATATTTTTTAAAAAAAGTTAATACTGAAGATGAGTCTGGGCAGAGAGGCTAGGCACATCTTTGGTCTTTGGGGAAGAGGGAACATATGCAGAGAGCAAGTGATGAACTGATGAACGTGCATGTGCATTCATCAAACCATGAGGGACTCCTTGTGGCTGGAATGTAAGAGGAATTTGGTGAAATGAGGCTGGATAAGAAAACTAGGGTGAGGTTCTGAAGTTCTTAATCTGTCAAGCCAGACAGTTTGGATTTGATCCTGTGGACATTGGGGGTGCGTCAGCCAAAGCCTTTATTGTTGGGGGTTGGGATAGGGGCTGGTTGGTGACAGGTACACTGGAAAGAGACCCATGACATGACGTTCTAGTAGAAGTCCCCATGAGAGATAGTAGGAAGGTAGGAGTCTGGCCTGGGCAGTAGGAGAAGACAAAGAGGAAATGTTTCTCAAGTTCAGTCAATAGGAAGTATGTGAGAGATGAGCTATATGGGGAAGTCAAGAAATTTACAGAGTAGCTTAGCTGTGTTGTAGGAAAATGAGTAAATTCCACTTATAGGCAGTTAAAGGAAAAATACATTCTAAGCCTAAAGATTGATATGTCTATATTCAGAGGAATTTTTTTCCTCTAAAGTGGTACTTTTTAATCCAGTGGTAACTTCTTTTATAGTGGTTTTGTTCAGGCTGAAACAAATAATATGCTTTTATATTAAATATATTTTTAAACAAAAGCAAGTGAACACACTAATATCTGGGATTTTAAAATCCTACAAGTTACTACTTATAGAGGAAAGTTTTGAGCTCTCTTTGGAGCAAAGATGGTCCAGTGGAAATAGCAGTGTTGGTAATCCATTTTGATAATGAACAACATTACAAAAAGAAACACATTTCGTATAGGAAACAGTGGTTGGCACTTTGGTAAGCTCTTTAGATACATTAATTAGCCTGGTGACTTGGCCATGATTATTACTTTTGCTTTGCAGAGGAAGAAAACAGTGTTTAGTTAACTTGCCCGTGGTCACTGGGCTGGTAAAATGGATTTGAACCCAGTGATCTGACTCTAAAGTCTGCTCTTCTAACTTCTTGTTCAATTACTGCCTCCAATTTCACTGTGCCCTCTCTAATTTTATGTCATACTCTTCCTCTATGTACCTTTGTAGAATTGGACAGGATTAAAAAAAACAAAAAACTTCCTTCTAACTCCTGCCTATGTATAAAGTAATATTTTGGGTGATATTACAGAGTTTCGTTTGTTCACTAGTAGAAGAAAATACCAATTTCAGAATCTTTGAACTTTGCTTTCTTTTCTGGAGAATAGATAATTGTCTAGCTAATTTATATATAATATTAATAATTCTAATAATATTCCTGTTTTACCATAAAATAAAATTGTTTATTTAGAAAATAACAATTATAAATATATTTATAAAATAATTATTTATAAAATAAGTAATGCTAGTTATAAGTTATATCCCCTTTGAAAAGTACATCTATCTCTGTGTGCAGAAATTTACCTGCAAGATTTTTCATTACAGCTTTGTTTATAATATAAAAATTTGGAAACAGGCTAAATATTCAGAAATAAGGAATTATAATCTTTTCAATTGAAAAAGCTTTTTACAAAAATGCTATTTAGAGAAGGGGTTGGCAAGCTTTTTCCATAAAGGTTTAGATAGTAAATATTTAAAGCTTTGTAGACAAAGAGCCAATATTAAGGGTACTGTATAGGTATATAACCATATAAAAATATAAAAATCCACTTGGAGGCTGTACTAAAACAGGTGGTTGGCTGGATTTGACCATGGGCTCTAATTTGCTGATTCCTGATTTAGAGTATAATCTAGTTTCTCTCCATTCTCCAAAATCCACATATAAGCTTAGAAAAAAATGGCCATAAGGTGATATTATGTGATTGTCATTTTATTTATTATCATTATCTGCCTTCATTTTCTAAATTTTTCATAACAAATGTGCATTGCTTATATACTTAGCGGAACAACACAATTTTTTTTTTTAACAAAACACATTAGTCTCTGTATGTTTTATAGTAGTAGTTTGTGTTGATGTCACAGAACTTTTGGGTTGCAGAGCTATGGAGCCCAGACTGAAACTGCATGTCCTTACTTCCCCACCTCAAACTCTACCAAGGGTTTTAGGGAAAAGGATTGGTTTGTTTCTTAGCCTCTTTAGTATATCCAAGATTTTAAATAAGCCAGAATTGTTTTTACTCTAATATACTACATTTTTTCTTGAGATGTTTTTTATTTTGGGATAATTGTAGACTCATGTGCCCTTGTAAGAAAAAACTGGGTATATACCCTTCACCCAGTTCCCAAAGGGTAACATCTTGCATAATTCTAGTATATCACAACTAGTAAATTGGTATTGATAAAACCCACAGACCTATTCTCATCTCACCAGTTTTATATACATTCATTTGTGTGTGTGTATGTGTGTGTGTATTTAGTTCTTTGTCCTTTCATCACATGTGAAGATCATGTGACCACCACTGTATTCAAAATACAGAACAGTTCATCAAGTTCCCTAGTGCTATCCTTTTATAATCATGGCCACTACCTCCCCCACATTCATCCCCTTGCAACCACTAATCTGTTCTCCATCTCTATAATTTTAAGTGTATTACTTCTTAATGGTTGCTCTGGGTATTAAAACATACATACATAATTTATCACAGTGTCTGGTGTCCATGATGTTTTACTACTGGTCAAGTGTTAATTTCCATGTATGCCCCTTTATCCTTCCCACTTTTTATTTTTTTTAAATTTTTAAATTTAATTTTTATTTTTTTAAATATATCTTTATTGATTTCAGAGAGAGGAAAGGAGAGGGAGAGAGAGAGAGAAACATCAATGATGAGAGAGTCATTGATCGAGCCCGCAACCTGGGCATGTGCCCTGACCGGGAATCAAACCCCGATTACCTGGATCCTAGGTAGACGCTCAACTGCTGAGCCACGCCTGGCCGGGCTATCCTTCCCACTTTTTAAACACTGTTGTCTTAATATTTACTTTATATTCATTGAGTACATCAGTTGTTATTAAACTTTTTGCTTCCCCTATCAAATATGATTTAAGAAACTCATGAAAAGGATAATTTAGTATATTTACCCCTTTTTAACCATTCCTATGTTAAAATTCTAAGTCGTCTTTTGTTATCTTCTATCTTTTGTTCCTTTCTGTTTAGAAAACTTTAGCCATTCTTTAGGAATAGATTTGCAACGCACAAATTCTCTTAGTTTTTCTTCATCAGAGAATGTCTTTATTTCCTTTTCATTTTTGAGGGATATTTTCACCAGATATAGCATTTGCAATTGACAGGTCTTTTCTTTTAGAACCTGAGAAATGCTGTGCCACTTCCTTCTGGCCTCTCATTTCAAATGAGAAATGCATTGTCATTTGAGTTGGTGCTCCTCCATAAATAATGTGTCAAGTTTCCCTGGCTGTTTTCAAGTGTTGTTTGTGTGTATGTGTGTTTACTTTAATTTTCAGAAGTTTAATTATAATGTCTCTTGGTATGGATTTCAATTTGTCTTTTTTGGGATTTGCTTAGCTTCTTGAATCTGTAGGGTTATGTACTTCCCCAAATTTGGAGAGTTTTCAGCCATTATTTCTTTGAATACATTTTCAGTTTCACTCTTTCTTCTCCTGCTGGGACTTTTAGTATGAATGTTAGCCCTTTTGTTATTGTTCCACAGGCCCCTGAAACACTTTATTTTTTTCAGTCAATTTCTCTCTATTGTCCAGATTGGGTAAATTCTATTGATCTATTCTCAAGTTCATTGGTTCTGTCCCCTGTCATCTCCATTCTGCTATTGAGCTCATCCAGTAAATTATTTCTTTTGGTTATTATATTTTCCATTTTTAATAACTTCTGTTTTTTTGTGGAGATATGCTGTTGCTTCATTTATTTCAAGGGAATTTTTAATTGCTTGTTGAAGCACTTTTATGATGGCTGCTTTAAAATCCTTGCCAGATAATTCTAATATCTGATTCATTCTTGTGTATTTTAAAGGAAAACAATAATTAATGAAGAATCATCACTTCAATTTTTCAGGTCCACTTATTGTGTTCCATGTGTTGTGCTGAGTGCTTTATATGGATTACCTCATTTAATATGAACCCCAACTTATATTTGGCAAGAGAGGCTGCCTATGCTGCAGTAACAAAGAGTTCCAAAATTGTTGTGGCCTAACATATCATAGATCTTTTTCTGAGTAGGTTCAGTGGTTCAGGGAGAGGAAATCGCGGTATCAATAATACAGAAATGTCATAGTTTTCCTCAGGGTGTTTTCTATTTATGTATGGACCAGTATACTTTAGTCATACAGCTGGAAACTGAAGCAACTCTGCTTCATGGAGATATGTATTTTTTTAAACCCTGCTTGCTTCGAATAGGTTCTTGCTATATTAGTTAGTTAGAAGTACGTTGCACCTTTTCTTAAAATAGTTTA